TCTCTGCCCACTGCTGAGGCCGGCTTGGCTTTGGGGGCTGAAGGGGGGAGCGCGGGGGGGAGCCTCTGCGGGAAGGGGCAGGCCTCGCCGGGACGGTCAGCGGTGCCGCTGGGAACCAGCTCTTCTCCACTGCCAGCTTCTCTTTTCCCCAAAACCACCGTCTCGAGGACGCCCGGGGGCCCAGGGTAGGCAGAGGGGTCTCTGCTTGGTCCCCAGGCGGGTCTCCCCCCTTTGCAGCGCTTCGTTTGTGAGAAGGAAGGGGCAAATTTGTTTTACCTGCGTTGTGCTGGAGTCCTGGTTGTCAGCTGAACGGGGGATGCTGGGGGCGGGGGGCAGAGGGAGGCATGTGGTGAGAGGCAGTTCCTTGGCCGGGTTGTTTATATCCCAGGGAGGTGAGCGAGGGGACACAGAGGAGAGGCCGGATCCGTGTTACTCTGGGCCAGGGTCTCCATCGGTGCCAGCAGAGCAGTCAGGAGTCCAGGAGCTGTACCAGGCAGCTTTCATCTCCTGCCAAGGCTGCTTAGAAAACTCAGAAACGGCTATTGATGCTTCCATATATCTAAGAGAAGTTGTATCTGTGTGTAAATCTTGTATCCTGAATTTAGATCCTCTGGCCCCTTTTTAAGTTAATGCTTTGCCTTCCCCAGCTTCAAACAGCACCAGCAAGATGGTTATTTGCTTTACTGAGTAGATTCAGAAATTAATTTATCATTTTTAAAAAAACTTTCAAAGGAAATCCTGTCCTCTGAACAATGAAGATCTTAGACCCCGGCTAACCCTTAGACGCGCAAACTGTCTGTGAATCCCTCCGTGCTCTTCTGAAGCAGATGTTGAAGTTCTTCAGAAGGATCTTCTCTATTCACACACGGTGCCTGCGTGAGAAGAGAGAAGGCTCCCAACGATCTTGTGAGTATCAACTCAGCTGTGGATTTTAGTCTGAGCTTTTGTTTATGGCTAATTTAAGCAGTTGGCTGCGGGTTTGGGTCCGGTCCATCGCTTGTGCTGGAGAAGCCGCTGGATCGAGGAGCTATGCCTGTGTGTGCTCCCGGGGAACTTTTCTGTGATCCAGTGGTCACGGAAACATGAGCTGTGACGGGAAGGGGGTGAGCTCAGCGCTCGGGGCTGGAGATGCAGCTGGGGGTTTGTGCAATGTCAGGCAAGTGGTTTAGTCTCTAAGCCTATGAATCTTTTTCTGTAGAGCTGAGATAATGTTCCTCTCTATGTCAAAAATGCTCTGAAATTCCAGAATATTATATATTGTTATATAAATGATTGTTACTGTGCAATGCAGATGTTGGATCTCTTGATGAGGCCTCAATATTGAGAGAAACACCCCAGTAAGCAGTTCTGTGCTTAGATCAGCTCAGATGTTTTCCATTTGTTTTTCAATTTTGAACTGCATTACAAAAATGGTGAAGCTGAGGAAGAAAACCCTGTTGTTGTGAAGTGAAAGCAATCAAAACTCTCAGCTGATACTGAGTCTAGGGAGCTCTGCCTGCTCAGCACTGAAATTGGAGCGTCTGGGGCTTTTATATTTAACATATTGTCCAGGAATGTGCAAAGGGAGCTCCTGGGACATGAGCTACTTACGGATTTTTATAAGCTAATGGAGCCAAAATATTCCTGGAAAGCAGTGGTGTGCTGTAACTGCCTGGTTTTCAGTCTGCGCCTGTTTCTTTGTGGAGGCAACGTTGCTATTTGTTTTTAAAAAAGGGGGGAAAAAAACAGACAATGCTCTAACAAAGTAGGACAGATTTATTTATTCATGCTTGAGGTGCCCTATAGAAAGTATATAGTAGAGCAGCAGGGATAGTCCAAAAACACTTAAGCTATAGCTGGGCTCTCACTGCTTATTAATTAGCCTAATTAGTATTTAAAAGGATCTCTTGGGGGTGAAAGCAGTGTTAGCCAAGAAGCTTAGAAACCGTGGACAATTTAGGGGCCCGCTACAGTCTGGGATAAAAGCAGCAGCAATAGAAGTGGAGAGTGACAGCCTTGACCTGACTTCCCTCACCATTTCCCGGTGCTGAGCTTTCTTCATGAGAGGGAGATTTAATGTGCCAAACTCTGCGTGTTGGATCTGTGGAGCTAAAGTGTGACGTAGTACCCTGTAAAAAGAGTTTTCTCCTGCGTGCAGACCTGGGGCAGCTGTGTTAGTACGGTGTCAACGAGAAAAACAGTTGAGCTGTAGGATTTCTCTAGAAGGTAAAGGTTTTGCTCCCGTGAGGCATGATTTGAGACCAAGTTGTTGACAAGATCTTTTCTTTAATCCAGATGAAGACAGTTTTCCTAGGGAAATCCTTAGGGTAACAGCCTTAGCACGAGTAGCAAAAATCATCAGTGTCAGTAACGCTGTCATTGCTAAATCCTCTAAATTTGAATAACATCGAATAACCTGGAGACTGAATTGGCAGTTTGTATAATGATTGATTGCTTGTCATCTCCTCCTGGGCACGGTGTGTTTTGAAACAGATAAGCGCTGTCAGGGCCCAGCTTAATCCTAAGGAATGCAAGACAAAGGGGAAGTTGTTTAAAAGAAGATACTTTCCCTTAGGAGCCTGTCAGCTGGCTCCACCTACGGCTGTGCTGCTCGTTTATTGCTCTGGAGCCTGACTTGTCTTCCAGCTGCATTGAGGAAACCTCTTCTGAAGGTTACAGGGATTTTGATGTCTGAAAAATAGTCCTTTTAAAACACAGCTCTTCTGATTCAAGCGTCTGCCGAAAGGAAGCAGCAAAGCCAGAGCCGTCAGAGGGCCCTGAAACACAGCCTGGATTCCCTCTCTGTGCGACAAGTGAGAACAGCATGAGTCCTAATGCAAAATATTTCTGTAAATAATTGAAACGTTGAATTTGAGAACCGCTGAATTTGAACGTTAGAGTCCTCCTCCGCTGAGCAGCGGCTCGCTAAGGTGGGACTGGTGACAGATGCTTGACTTGAGACCTTCTTGTTCTCCAGGTGTGTGAGGGGTGAGCCATGCTGGGCCGGAAAACAGGACTTCCCCACGACCTGAACAGCCACCGCCAGCTGAACCAGTCCTACCAGGAGGCCGTGCCCCTGCGGACCAGAGCATCCAAGGAGACAGATGTCAGTTTGGAGGTGTTCAGTGGCTCAACGCCCGAAATCAAACAGAGCCGGAGCAGAGCCCAGCAGATGCGGGACAGGAAAAGCCGCAAAGCTGATGTCAAAGACTCCAACGGGAGAGAGGCAGAAACAATCACCTTTATTTCTGGTACAGCGGAGGCTCCCCCAAACCAGAGCTTCTGCTGTTCCTCTCTGTCTCAGGCCTGGAATACATACAAGGCTGTTTTCTGTTGTATAGTGACCTGTGGGGGCTGCTTTCAGGACTGCAGTGTCTGTATCCCCTATCCGGGGCCCACCGAGACCTCCACTGATGATGGAAAGAACGGAGATTATAACGGGCGACTGCCAAACAGCCCCGCCAACGTCTCTCCCACTGAGAAGAATGGGAACCAGATCAAAAAGTCCAGCATGGGTAGCAGTTTCAGTTACCCAGATGTGAAACTGAAGGGCATTCCTGTTTATCAAAACAGGAGCCCCAGCCACCACCTGGAATCGGATTCATGCTGCAAAGAGCTACTCCCAGAGAAGCCCTTCAGGAACAGCATAGAAAAGCCACCACTCCCCAGCAGCCACCGGAGTTCAGAGGAGTATTATTCCTTCCACGAGTCCGACCTGGACATCAGCGAGCTGAACGGCTCCATGTCCAGCAGGGAGATCGACGTCCTGATCTTCAAGAAATTAACGGAGCTCTTCAGCGTCCACCAGATCGATGAGCTGGCCAAGTGCACATCAGACACTGTCTTCCTGGAGAAGACCAACAAGATCTCAGACCTCATCAATAGCATAACTCAGGACTACAACCTGGACGAGCAGGATGCTGAATGCAGGCTGGTCCGAGGCATCATACGCATCAGCACCCGGAAAAGTAGGGTCCGGCCCCATATTTCTATCCCAGCCAGCCAGAGCCACGAGGAGAAGTCCAGCAGAGGCAATGCCCCAGACAGCGGGAACGAAACGATGCTAGAGTCCATGGTCATCAGCCAAGACGGTACGTGTGGGTTCCTTGGTGTCGCTGCTTCAATAAAAAAGGGTTATTTTATCACAGCCATGGAACAGGGTTTGCACGCTGATGTCTGTCTTGGGGCTGGGTTTGTTCCCCTGGGATGTGTGAACAGAGGTCCTTCCCCGTTACTGGAGACCTCTGCTCCTCACCACTCACTGTGTCCTGGCTTCCTTCATAGTCTCTTTCACTGTCAGTGCAGTTTGTTCTCAGCAATATAAGGGCTTATTCTGCTGCTACTGCAATAATTCCTCTGCACCTCTAAGCTAGGCAGAAAGACCGTGAGTCAAACTTAACTGGTATGACCAGACGAGCTGGCTTGTGCCAGAGGATGTCCAGTTGCTAAGCTGTCTCTCTCCCCTGTGTTCTACCAGGGCTCTTTGCTAATGCCACCCTTAGACTGTCATGACAGAGGGTCTCCTTGGAGCTGAGAATTCCTCTACACGGTGGGTTGAGGAGCAGCCAGTAAGACCCCTGCAAAAAGGAGGGGAGGGCTGCTGCCGCAGCATGAGTGCCTCCTGGCTCTGCTGAGGATGCTTTCCTCCTTGTCTGGGGAAGCCTGACCTCCAGAACAGGTTGTAAGAGAGTTTGTTGTAGAAAGACCTTGAAAAGCTGAGTATGGGGGGGCGAGGAGACATCCAGAAGTAGCAAAGGAAACCCAGTAGCTGTTGTGCTTCCCAGTTTAGCAGTAAGGCTGCTGTTACTTCCTGGTATTTAGGGACTACAAAACTCAGATTACCAAGACAATGGTGGAAGCAATCTGAAGAATCAGCCTCTCCCTCTCCTATTACCTGAGGTTGGTGCCTTAGGAAGGAGAGCCCTGTGCGTTCCCTGACAGGCAGCTTGAGTCAGAGCTGCCTGTCCTTTCCTGTCTCAGGCCCTCTTGGTTTCCATTCCAGATCTGGCTGTGCAAATATCGGAAGAAACACCAGCAGATGTGATGGCCAGGAACATGAGGCGGCACAGCAGCGCAGGTAATGGACCTGGCCAGGGGTCTCAGCTGCAAAGGCATCGCAGGAGTGAGGGGAATGCCCTGACCCCCTCGTGCATGGCCAGCAGGGACAGGGAAGGGATCTGAGCCCTGGGCTCGGCACTGGGGAGGCCGCCCCTCGCTGAGTGGGTTCAGTTTTGGGCCCCTCACCCCAAAAAGGCCATTGAATGACTCGAGCGTGGCCAGAGAAGGGCAACGGAGCTGGGGCGGGGTCTGGAGCACAGGTCTGCTGGGGAGCGGCTGGGGGAACTGGGGGGGTTCAGTCTGGAGAAGAGGAGGCTGAGGGGAGACCTCCTGGCCCTCGGCAACTCCCTGCCAGGAGGGGGCAGAGAGGGGGGATGAGTCTCTGGAGCCAAGGAGCCAGCGCCAGGCCCCGAGGGAATGGCCTCAAGCTGCCCAGGGCAGGGTCAGGCTGGCTCTGAGGAAGGATTTCTGTGCAGAAGGGGCTGTTGGGCGTTGGAATGGGCTGCCCAGGGCAGGGGGGGAGTCCCCGGGATCCCTGGAGGGGTTGAAGAGTCGAGTTGGCCCAGCACTGAGGGATCCTGTGGAGTTGGGAACGGTCAGGGTGAGGTTTGTGGTTGGGCTGGAGGAGCTGCAAGGGCTTTTCCAACTGAGATGATTCTGGGATTCTTGTATTACATATCCCCTCAGTTTTCACCATCTGCAAAGGCTGAGCTGACATCTGCCTCTTAGGTTACCGTAAGAGTTGTAGTTCTCTCGAGCTCTGGGAGTGAAGGAGGCTCAGCCCCTGACGTCTGCCGGAGTTGCTGGGTCCTTCGGAAAGAGAATGAAACCCAAGTTTGGAGTGCTCTCTGTCCATGCACAGCATTTAGCCCGAGAGTTAATTTTGGGTCTCTGGGTATCCTGACAAAGTTTGGGGCTGTATTTTGGGTGTGACCAGCTGAGGTCACAGCGGGGTTATACTGGGAACAAAAGGAACTGTGCAAAAGGGAAGCAGGGGAGAGTGACAGGCTGTCCCCTGAGCTCTGATCCTTGTGGCATGTGTGCTCCACTCCAAAGAGCAGCCCAGGGCTAAAAGACAAGTTTTCTCCTGCGTAATAACAGATCCCTCCTAGAAGGTGGCTACAATACAGGCAGGGCTGTTCCCTGCCTTGGGCTTTGTGTGGCTTTCTCCTCCCTCATGATACACAAAGCCTTTTGTGGCAGTTGCTTGCCTAACTGCCAGGAACTGCTATAGTTCACGTTGTCTAATGTCACCATCTGTTCTCTTTCCTCTCCAAGGCTCTCCAACAAGCAGAGATTCTTCTTTCCAAGACACAGAGACTGACTCATCTGGGGCACCTCTGCTTCAGGTGTATTGTTAAGGAAAAGGACCCAAGCAGCAGCAGGAGTTCCAAGGCTCTGCTGCAATCAGATTTCTCCTCTTTCAATATGGAGTGTGCTATGCCACATTTTTTTTTCCCCCCCAGTCTACCCTGATCCTTTGTTGAAGCCAAATTTCTCCTGCTGTCTGAATTTCACTGGATTTTTTTTTTTTTTTTGGACTATGTAGAACATCAAGGAAGTGAACTTGTGCAGCTGATGAACTTGGGAGGTGGAATGTGTGCCCAGGGAGGAGAAGATGGACGAGGAAGTATCACATAACTTGTGCCTCTATGATTTCCATCCTTCAGGTGTAGCTTCAGCAACCTCAGTGGCCCAGTCCTTTCCCTGCTTTGAGGTTCTTTGTACAGTTTTTGCTTCCTGGCGTTGCATAAGTTAACTTGGGTAGGGAATAACTGGATGGTGTGTCTGTGTTTGTGCTGATGCTATAGTGAAGGCCAAGCCCCTGCTCTCTAGGGACCCAAATCTCTAAAGTGGCTGGGTTTGTCCCAAAAACCAAAGTCCTCTAGCCCTGGTGTTTGCAGTAGCCAGATGTGCCTCCTTCCTGCTGACCTTTAGTGGTGTTGTCATCTGCTGCCTTGTAAGGAGAAGGTTCAGGTAATGTGGTTTGTTTACTCTTTGCCCTCTTGGCGTGTCTGCCGAGAGAGTGCCCCTCGTGGAGGGGTGGGGTGCCCGGCCACCCACCCTGCTCGCACTTCCCGAGCAGATCACAGGGAGCAGCTCTGCAGCCGCTGCCAGTCCGACGTGAACTGCGGGCATGAGGTGTTAACCAACTGCACGTGCTGACCCGTGCCGTGCAGTCACCTCTTCCTCACTCCTCCACCTTCCCCTGTTACCCTTGGTGTCCCTGGGCCAGCCTTGAGCTCGGGTTATGGCAGCTGAAGGAAATAGTCAGTTCATTTTTAAGTTTTTCTAACTAATTTGACTTATTCTGCTGGAAACTCTCTTAAAAGTGGCTTGCTTCAAAAGGAAAGCCTCTCCTGAGAGTCTCCAGAGGGTCTGTTAGGAACTGCTTGGTCCTGCCTTTGCCCGGTGGGTGCTCGGCGCCGGCTCCTTCCCTTCGCCCCTCTCCAGCCACCCGCCGGAGGCCAGAGATGTGAGTTGCTAATCTGAGGGCACCACACCAGGCGACCTTGAGGGCTGCAGCAGGAGGAGGCTCTATTTTACTGGTGTTGCCACTTGGTTTTTTATCATAAAGTAAACACGTGAAGCCATGGGACCTGTTTATACATTCGGGTGCCCTTGGACATGAATAGAAAACGCTTAGTTGAATTTAACCAGCCATAGAATAAACGCCCACTGTTTTCTGGGGAGAGGAAAACCAAAATAGGCCCTGTGATTTGGTGTGGACCACATTTTTGTGCCTTAATTGAACTGAATCGTGCCTTAATTGAACTGAAATGTGCCTTTATTTCGTAGCCTGTGATTACTCTTCAAAAGCCTGGATAGGGGGAAAAGGATTTAATATTTTCACATGAGCACTCAGGCTTATTTAACCAGCCAAAGCCCTTTAACAGGGACTCGAACTGTACATTTCAGAGCCTGTTTTTGTAAACTGCTCATATTTCAGAGCATGCTTTCATAAACCATGGACAGTACTGAGAACACACCTTGAGACACTGACAGAGAGAGATGTTTGAAAATAAAGGGGAGAGACCGAGATGTGGATTTTGCGTCCCCTCCCTGCTTTGTTTTTAAAGCTGTTTATGCAAGGAAAAGACTTGAAGCGAGGCCAACCCAGGACTCCCAGAGGAGCTGTGTTTGGTCACCTCCTTCTGAATGCCACATGTACTGAGGGACCCGTTCGGCGTCCTGCTTCTGAATGGATTTGTACATACATATTTGGACAAGTTTACTTAAACCTGTGCACTGAGGCGTCAGTGTGGGTCACGCTGACACGGAGCTCTGTGGTCTGTGCGCTGGAGCTTTGGAGACGAGGGGTGAGGATGGACTTGCAGAGAGCTGCCAATCGCTATGACAGATGCAATAAGACATTTTTTTTTTTTAATGTTTAGTCTGTGTACGAAGAGTGAATGTGTATGGATTAAGCTTGCAAAAAAGCCCCCAAAAAAACCCCAAAACTCACTAAAAGGAAGACTGTCAACTCGATGGTCCCTGAAGCTGGTGCACCTGTGGTGTCTTACGGGATTCTTTTGCACTCCTTGGCCTTAAACACCTGATTTGGTCTTTTTTATAAAGCAAAAGATTGTGCTCTTCACCTGTGCTGTGTCTTTTATGTTCCTGCGTGCATCAGTTTGGGGAGAACATCCCTCAGCGAGGGAGCCTGGGCCAGGCTGGGGGGGTTGCAGGGTGGGGTGCTGATCCCCAGACAGAGTTTTTCATCCATTTGGCAGCACTTGCCCATGCCCAGGGAGATTGATCACAGGGCTGGATGCTGGGCTGGTGGGACACAGGGAAGCTGGGCACTGACTAAAGGAGCCTCTGGGGTAGTGCCCGTTTGCACACCAGGAAAACCCAGGCCTTCCCTGAGGGGTGATGCTGGAACTGAGCTCTGGAGGAACTGAGCCTGAGGGGAGAATTTCCAACTCCTTTCCTGTGGTGCAGACAGCTGTTGCTAGAAAATGCACAAATTGCTCCAGAGCGGCTGCTGTCCCTGATGGTGGGGCAGGATCTGCCTGGGGAGGGAGGCTGGCTCAGCCTTGGACTCTGTGACTTGAAGGACCAGTTTTGCACTTTCTAATTTCACTACAAAAACTCAGCTGATAACCCACGGAGCTCTGTTCCCTGCCACTGACCGTCCCTCACCCTCCCTGGGCAGGGGACAGCCGGGAGGTGCTTGTGGGTGGGTTTTGCCCTCTGGTGCACAGGACCAACTTCCCTTCGAGGGAAGAGAGTGGATGGTGTGAAGGATTGATACTAACCCCTCTTTTTTTTTAACTTAAGTTTGGTCTGTCCAGGCAGAAGTCTTAGCCTAAACTTGAGTCCTTCTGTGCCTGGTCCCCTGCCTGTTCTGCCCCAAGTTCAGCCTGGCCAGGCACCCTTCAGCAGCAGCAGGCAGAGACCACTGCAGCTGTGCGAGAGATCTTTTCTGGAAGGATTTTAAAGCAGTGGACAGGTAAATGCTGCCTTCTCTCGGCTGGGAAGGGTCTCCAGAGATGTTTTGGTGTCTGGAGCCCTTGAACCAGCCAGCTGAGGCCACAGGGGAATAGAGCAAAGGCTGCCAGCAGCAGCAGCAGCTTGCTGGCCAACCGCTGGCACGCTGTGCAGGCACGTGGCTCTGTCACTGCTGTCTCCGCTGTCCCCACCTGCTCCTAAGCTGCCCTGATAGTTCCCCCTGTAAGTCTGGGCCCATTTTTCTGCCCTCTGCCTACCCTTCCTCTCTAAGTTTCTCCAGTGCTTTTCCTGGAAGCTCTTCAGTCTCCCCTCAGCACTCAGTCAAGCAGCTGGAGTGACCGAGGGGCTGTAACACACACAATTGCTTCTGCTTCTCTTGGGCACGTTGAATCCCTGGAGGAAAAAAAAAATGTTTCTGGAGGCTTCGATCCCAGTCCCTGCTCAGTGCAGCTCTGCTGGGTGCTCAGCACAGGAGGTCATCTCCTGCCCCACAGAGCTGCTTCCCAACTAGCTTGGCTGCTTCCAAAGCGCTGCGGCAAGATCACAGCAATTTCTGGACAGATTTCAAAACTTTGCATTTAAAACCGTGACACCGTAGTCAATGTGTCTCTGCTGTCAGTCCTGTGTTCAGCAACTCTCCTGCTTTTGATTCGCCGTGTGGATCATGGGTTTCCTTGCTCACGTGGAATGAATCCACAGGGTTTTTTTGTTTGCTGTCGATCAAGCTGTCTTGGCTGTTGCTGTTGTGGTTTTTGCTCTGAGCAATAACATTGAGTGTTCTGCTGAGTGATCTGGCAGAAAGAGTTGGTTGCCCAAGTGGAGATCTTATAAGCACGAAAGCCCTTTACTTGGCCGCGTGCATGTCAACATGCTCTCTTCACGCAGGTACTTCCTTTTGGGAGCCTGACTCAGCACCTTTCTTTTCCTGAAGACTTTGTTTGATTTTACTGGGCTTGGTTTTGCCAGACTCTCCAGGGACTCACACTGTGCGCGAGTCCTCACCGTGCTGCAAGTACAGGGACTTCAGCAGGACCCCGCACACTGCACAGCCCAAGCCACCCGCTGCCGGTGGTTCCTTGGGTTTGGGTTAAGATCAGCTGGGAACGGATGCACAAGGCTTTGAGTGTTAAAGAAAAGAAATTCATCTTCCCCATCCACACCCTGAGCTACTGAATTATTTCTTTCAGTGTGGCTTAGAAGTTTGAAAGTTGAAGGATTGACCCCAATTCTTTACAGCCTGGTCCTGAGCAGTGACAGAGGAGCTGTGACTTTTCCTCAGATTAAGCAGTAATGTTAAATACCCCGCGCCTCCGTTTCCCTCTTTGTGGTTTTGCTGTTTCGTTGCTCTCTCCAAAGCACTCCTGCAGTCTGGGCTGTTTCCAAACTAGTCAGAGCTGCGATATTCATTAATAAAAGCTATGCCAAGAGCTGCTGTTCGAAAAAAATAAAAAATGAGGGAAACTTTTACCGTACAGAAAGCCCTCTGCAGAGCCTGTATGCCTGCAAGATTTTACTTTTAAAGAACGTGAGAAAGGGCCTGGCCAGGCGGGCACAGGAGCTCCGGGCTGTGCCGGCAGCGGCAGCTCCGGCGGGTGGCAGCACCGAAACGGCTTCTCACGGTGCCTGGACACGGGCGGGGAAAGGCAAAGGGACCTTCATCACCTGCCACCCTCCAGCACGGCCCCCCACGCTCTGCCGGGCCTGGGGCGGGAAACATCTGCTGGGAGCCAGGACAAGGATGTATTTGTCGGGTTTTGGTCCCTCGTGGTGCTCAGTGGTTCCCTGCTGTGGTCGCAAGGACGAGGCCACGGGCCGTGGTCTCCGGTAACTCTGCCCGAGGTGAGGCTTTGTGTTCTTTAAGCCACTTCTGGAGCTGCTCAGGCCAGCGCTGTCCTGCCCCGGCGTGGTTTGTTCCAGGGGAAACTGCCTTTTGGAAGCAAAAGGGTGTTTTGGATTTGCCTTGGCCTGGGGAAAGTTGGTGGCAACCGGGTGTTTGCAGAGGACAAGGCCGTCAGGAGAAACACCTTCTGTTCCGCTGGCTGGAAGGGTTGAAGTCCAGGGGATCAACCGCCGTTCACAAACACAGCCCCGGGCATTCACCTGCCGGCGGGTTCGGAGCCGCAGTTACAGCCCCCTTCTCCCAACTGTTTGCCTTTTCCTTTTATCTGCTTGAAAGGCGCAATGACGCTCCTTGCACCCCCCAAAAAATGTCCCCCAGCTTCCTCTGGGGTTCCTGCCACTGCCTCTGTCTTAACACTGTCTTCTCTCAGCTCCTACCCAACCTGCCTCCTGCAAGTGACACCAGGCAGAGCCTGGAGAACTCACAACTGTCAAACTCCTCCTTGTCACAACCCTGCGGGGGCTGAGGACAGGAACAGCCCCAAGACTGGGGTTTTGGTGACAGAGGGAGCTCTGCCCTTAGAACAGGCAGCACAAAGCCCTCTAACATCCCACTGATACAGGCAGCTGCCAGCGATCGCCTCAGGTCACCTCGGGGTTTCTGGTGTCGGTTACAGGGCTGAGGTGGTAACTGGGAAGTAACAAAGCTACTGGTTGGGCTTGGGGTGGTGCCGTGAACTGTACCAGTTTACAACTGGTCCCCGTCTGCTGCCCCACTGCCTGCCTGTGCTTGCTCCTTAGGAGGGGCTGGCGGCTGGATGCGGATCCTGCCGCGGGTGCAGAGCATGGTCGCCTCCCCCCATCTCCAACAGCCCCAGGGAGCAGCAGCAGCAGCGCTCCGACATAGCTGAGAACGGGGCGAAGCTCATCACAGCCCCAAACAGCTCAGCCCTCCCCGCTCACCCGCACCATGGCTCAGAGCAGACACTGGCAGGTACGCCCCCTCCAGGGCTCAGCACCTTCGAAGCCAGCACAGTCTGACTTTTTTTACAGTAACAGGAGACGCTGTTGTTTTATTAGAGCCGAAGCACAGACACGCAAACGTGTGTGGGGTGAACCGTGAGATGAACTGGTGGGAGGACCTAGAGCTGAGCAGTCAAGAGGCAGCTGCCCCAACCTGAGTCCCTGTTCAGCACAAGGTCACTGCTCAACTGGGTGGGTGCTGGTTTTTGACCCCAAGAGCCTATAAAACTGGGAGACTAAATGCAAACAATAGCCTACTATTCAAAAATAAAATAAAAACACGCCAGGTGCAATGCCAGGCTGGACTTTGCCCAAGCAGGTTCTTCAGCCGTTTGTGCCTGCTCCCTCTGGTAGAAGGGGAAAATGTTTCGGGGTGGCAGAGGCAAGAACCACGGCAGCAGGGACCTGGGGTAGCCTGTAAAGGACTGACAGGAGCCTGGGCTTTCGTGACACTTTCCTCGTTAGCTCATCATAAAGAAGACCTGGGGCAAGGGTGGCTTCCTCAGTGCAGTCACGCGCTGCGCCGTGGAGGGTGGAGCCTTGGTCATCCCCGAGTGTTTAAGCTGGGCTTGGAGTCTGTCAGCACTCCTGAGCCAGGCACCAGCTCCAAGTGCCTCTCCTGAGCCGGGGAGCAAATGCTGGGTGGGAGCAGGGAGCCCATGGGGTATTTACGACCCCCAGCCCCTGCCAGGCTCCCTCATTCCCAGGCGCTGCCCGCTCCCAGCTCCCGTCCCAGCCTGGATCCCTTCTGTAGGAGAAACCACACACTCTACCTGGAAATATGCCACGTTTTTTCTTTATGTTGCACTGCAGTTTTAACAAAGATACGAACATGCAGAGTAATGCCACTTGTCGGCAGCTCAGAAAGAACGCAGTGATGCCTGTAAGGAGTCAGCAGGGAGAGAGGCTCTTGGAAAAGAGGCAGGAGACACACTCCCAGCAAGAACAGCACCCCCAAAGACCCCCCCACATCCTCTCCCTTGCCCACAGCCACAGGCTCCCCAGCCCTCCCTTGCTGTAGAACAGCAGGTCAGCCTCTCCAGCTGCGAGGGGAGCCCAAGCCCGGCGGGGCTCAGCCGCCTCCACTTCTGGCAAGAATCAAAACAGCAGCAAGGAGGAGCAGAGTCTGTCTCTGCTGCAATAGCTGGTGTTCAGGCTGGTGTTTTCCTTTCTCAAGGAGGCAGGAGAATTATTTTAGAAAATAAACTGGCCCTTGTTTTCACAGGAGAGCAGGAAAGCTGAGGGGAAGGGAGTGAAAACTCAGGAGTACCTG